TTCTGAGTCTGGATTACCTCACTCAGGATGATTTTTTTCTAGATCCATCCATTTGCCTGCAAACCTCATGATGTCATTGTTTTTCTCTGCTGAGTAGTACTCCATTGTGTATATGTACCACATTTTATTTACCCATTCTTCAGTTGAAGGGCATTTAGGTTGTTTCCAGATTCTGGGTATTACAAACAATGCTGATATGAATATAGCTTAGCAAGTGCCCTTGTTGTATGAATGAGCATTCCTTGAGTATATGCCCAAGAGTGGTATAGCTGGGTCTTGGGGGAGATTGATTCCCAATTTTCTAAGAAAGCGCCATATTGATTTCCAAAGTGGCTGTACAGACTTGCATTCCCAACAGCAGTGGAGGAGAGTTCCCCTTGCTCCATATCCTCTCCAGCATAAGCTGTCTTCAGTGTTTTTGATCTTAGCCATTCTGACAGGTGTAAGGTGGTATCTCAGAGTCGTTTTGATTTGCATTTCCCTGATGATTAGGGATGTTGAGCAGTTCCTTAAATGTCTTTCAGCCATTTGAACTTCCTCTGTTGAGAATTCTGTTTAGTTCTATAGCCCATTTCTTAATTGAACTGTTGGGCATTTTGATGTCTAATTTCTTGAGTTCTTTATATATTCTGGATATCAACCCTCTGTCAGATGTGGGGTTGGTGAAGATCTTTTCCCATTCTGTAGGCTGTTGCTTTGTCTTGTTGACCATGTCCTTTGCTCTACAAAAGCTTCTCAGTTTCAAGAGGTCCCATTGATTGATTGTTTCTCTCAGTGTCTGTGCTACTGGTGCTATATTTAGGAAGTGATCTTCTATGCCAATGCATTCAAGACTATTTCCTACTTTCTCTTCTATCAGGTTCAGAGTAACTGGATTTATGTTGAGGCCTTTGATCCACTTGGACTTACGTTTTGTGCATGGTGACAGATATGTATCTATTTGCAGTCTTCTACATGTTGATATCCAGTTATGCCAGCACCATTTGTTGAAGATGCTTTCTTTTTTCCAGTGTATAGTTTTGGCTTCTTTGTCAAAAATTATATGTTCATAGATGTGCGGATTTATGTCAGGGTCTTCAATTCGATTCCATTGGTCCACATGTTGTTTTTTAGATATGCATATGTATATTAATATGTATATGTCATATCTATACATGTCCTATCTATAGGCCTGCATACATATTACCAAATGATCGTGGATTTGAGGTCTTTCTTGGGTAGTGTAGATATTTGTAGTCACATATTTTGCTCTCTTGTCGACCCTGCTACTTCCCATAACTTTTTGGTGTGTTGTGCTTTGTTTTACCCATCTCAACATATTTTCTCACGTCCCCTTAGGAGTTCTGATTTGGCAGGTTATCTAGATATTTAATTTCTAACATTCATGAGTTTTCAGGCTTTCTTGATTAATTCCTAGCTTCAACCTTATGTGTTCTGAGAGGACACGATCTTTTCTAATGCACAGAGGCTCACTGTGTGCCCTAACACACCACTGTCTAAAGACAAGGCCCATGAGAGGAGTGTGTATTCCCTATTGTTGGGAAGAGTGGCTTTCCTGTGTTAGATGTCTGTTTTTTTATGTTGTTCATGTCCCATAGTTGCTTACTGAATAGTTTAAACATTCTATCCACTATTGAAAGTGAGGTATTG